AAATGCAATCACACAGAAAATCCAGGAGGAAGACTCAGAAGAAACTTTCATTTCAAAATCTGGAGCTAAGATCTTAAGGAATTTATCAAGTTTAACATCCCAACAAAGGGACTACCTGACCTCCTGGACCACCTGACATTGTGCCCTGAGAAGGACACATCACCTTTGTTGTGTTCGTGCCTAAAACGTTTCAATCTGATCAGTGAGGGACAAGCTATAAGCACCCTGAACTCTGTGAGTGTCCATGTCATGGGACAGTTCATGAGACTTAGGAACAGTTTTGGATCAAAGAAGACTAAAGAGACGACATCATTACACGCAATGTTTGAGCCCAAACTGAAAACTGAATTGAAAAAAAAAAAATAAAGCTCTAAAGGACAGTAGCAGAATGACGCAGGACACTGGAACATAGAATGTATACTAGACAATAGGATTGCAACCACATTAGACTTTGTAAGTTGATCATTGTCGTGTGGTTATGTAGAGTAATGTCCTTTTCCTTCCTTTCCTTTTTTTTAAATGTCCTTTTTCTTGAAAGATATGTGCTGCAGTATTTAGAATGGTATGCCACATCGCTGACAGCTAACTCAGCTGGTCACAGAAAGCAAAGCAGTTGACACACATGGAGAGAAAAATAAAGCCAGTGACGCACCTGTTAACAGTTAGTGAACTTAGGAGAAAAGGACATGGATGTTTGTTGTACTATTCTTGCAACTTTTTTAGTATCTGTAATTTTCTGAAATAAAAAGTTGGGAAAAACTTTTAAAATAAAGATGGGGCAGTGCCTACTGATCTCAAAACAAAGATGTGCTCTGTTCTCTTGAAAAGCAGGAAAAAGAATCTCGAAAAACCCAGTCTACGAAGAACATAGCCCTATATCATTGAGCTAACTAAGAATGGACAGGTAATTAAACTGTCTTTTTTGAGTATTAAAATAGTGATTTACCACGGATGGCTAATAATAAAGATTACATCAGTTGGTGTACTCAGCAGGGAACTCGTGTAAGAATTATGTCGAAGTGGGTTTAGCCACTTCCTGCGTGAGTGATAAGAAGTGGAGGGGAAACATAGGAACGATCAGCCCACTGAGCAGCACTTAAAGCTAAAGAGAGCCTGGAAGCCCGAGGTTCACCGGCTGGGGTCTGACTCGTCTGCTTACTATTTTGGCCCCTTCGCTCAGAACAGACACTGCAAGTGCAGAAAGCACAGTTTCACGAGTAGAAAAAAGATGAAGCATTACCTTTGAGGGCCTACCTGTTTCAACTGGACAAATTTCAAGGGATAAAGGCTTTTTATGGGCCCAGAGGGACACAGAATATCCAGAGCTGCCTCCACCGTCTTTAACTGAAAAGAAACAAAAGAAGCATTTACTCTCTGCCTCCCCGCACTGGTGATCAGAGAGGGGAGCATCACTTCCAAGTTACCAAAGACGATCAGGAGCTTTGACCAAACCCCTAACTAGCACTAAACTGTTCAAATTTCACTTAATGCTGCTTCCCAGTCACCTTCAGTCCCCTCTATGCACTCCCTAACTCTTTTTTGTTTTCAGATTAATATATGGGTACAAATGATTAGTTTACATTGTTTTGCACTTATTAGGTAAAGTCCAAGTTCAGCCCTTTACCCAGGAGGTGTGCCATATACTCCTACACTGAACCATTAGGTGTGAGCTTCTTAGCCCCTCCTCCTTCCCTTCTCCCCCCTTACATTTATTTTTTATTTTTTTGAGACAGAGTCTTATTACGTTGCCCTCGGTAAAGTGTCGTGGTGTCACAGCTCATAGCAACCTCAAACTCTTCGGCTTAAGCGATTCTCTTGCCTCCGCCTCCCAAGTAGCTGGGTCTACAGGCTCCTGCCACAACACCTGGTTATCTTTCTGTTGCAGTTGTCATTGTGGCTTAACTGGCCTGGGCTGAGTTCGAACACACCAGCCTTGGTGTATGTGGCTGGCTCCATAACCACTGTGGTATGGGCACCAAGCCTCCTCCCTTAAATTTAATTGTGTGGTTTTTTTTTTCCTTGCGTGGGCATGCAGTTGTTCATCCACTAGTTTCATATCAGTTACTGAGTACATGGGGTGCTTGCTTTTTCACTGTTCTGATACTAAGGAAGATGCTCTCCAAGTCCATCCCAGTAAATATAAAAGATGTAAAGTCTCTACCTTTCCTCCCTAATTCCTGATGAAAGACAGAAACGATGGTAGCTTAAAAATGTTTCAAATATACCTAGTCAGCAATACAAATACAACCTACTCAGATTTCTAAACGCCCTTCAAATGAGTGAGAACCACAGCTCAGAGGCCACCTTCTCTGTAACGCCTCCCCCACCATCCCCAAGGGAACTAACTAGGGAGTAAAAATCATAACTCGAGGCAAATTACACTAAGCTAAGTCTAGATATGCCACTATTCTGTCACCTTAATACTTCATCTGCCTCTGAACTTGACCGTAGCATATTTTCCACGCCTGTATCATGTATCAGTTGTTTATCTTTGTCTTCCTCACCAGAATGTCAGCTGTGTAAGAGTAAGATGTACTATGCTCACTCCAGAACATAATAGACACTTGATAAATATTTGTTATATTCCATCCGAGAGATTGTGTATTCCAGCCACCAAGGACACCTACTCTGATGCAATACAGTCATTGAGTGTCTACATACTCCAGATGAGACCGAGCATTCTACATGCACAGCCTCACTGAACACTCACAACTACCTAGCAGGGCAGGCATGATGCAGCTAACCTGAGTGAAGGCACAGCCAGGATTTGCAGTTAGGTTTAGCTCCCAAATCCACAGCTTTCCATGACATGTTACTGGTTAAGAATCTTATAAGCAATTCCCATGGTTACCTTGTGCAGCATAGAGGGGAAAAAAAAATCTTAATTATAATTCCATCAGGCTAGCTACTCACACGGGTGTTTTCTCACCTGGACAACTAAAGGAATTCAACTCACAGTAAAAGCTTTTATTCTATATAACCACTTGTATGTTCTACATAAAGTCAATCCAGTTGCATGCAGAGTTGTTATCTTATATTGTACACATTTATGGCTGACAATGAAAAGCCATTTCTGCTCACCCAATTTTCCTTCATGGTAAACAGAAAGTGTTTCTGGTAGATAGCTTTGTTTTAGCAATGCTGTTTTGATCCTTTGGGCTTATTTTCTGTTGCAGAAAAATAAATTTCTCACAGTTCTACAACAAACCAACCAACACTTTCCCTAAGTAGCTGCAGCAATGAACAAGTCGAAGGTACTCCCTTCACAAGTGTGACTGAAGTCTGATTAATCTAAAGAAAGATTCCTATCAAGCAGAGAGACTACACTCTTTGTAGAAGTAGCACATATATCTGACACTAGGCGGAAAATGTTACAAGAGCTCAACCAGCCAACAATACTGTCAAAGAGCTTCTCCAGTGGAAAAATTATATAATCATCGTGTTTGGCATTTTGCTTAAAGATAAAAAAACTCACAATGCTATTTTAGGATATCAAGATTCTTAAGAAATAAGTAACTGTTCATGTTTTTCCCCCTTATGAGTTAATATGCACATGTAGGAGTTAGGGATTATAAGAGGGGAAAGCCTGAAGACACAGAAGGTCAAAACAAATCGAATTCAGCTTACGTCAGTCCTTCTGACTACTAAACAAAACGTTTCTTCTTTTCCTCTTTCCCTAGAATACACTGCTCTTAACTCCTATTTATGATTAATTTCTAGTTTTTTTCCCCTATATGTCTCATTTACCATATAAACCCCAGACCATAAAAATAAGATCAAGGGGAATGTACAATTTAGGGCAGAGACCTATCAAAGTGCCTGTGCCTTTTGGGAACCCTTTTTATAAAGGTGAACTGTGGAAAAGCCACAACAATGAGCCTTTCCATCAAGGCTCTTGGCACTGCTTTTGACAACTGGTAACTGAACCAAAATGGCCTGAATGACCTAAGAAAGCTCTTGCTCCTGCTCAGTGGCCCATTACTCATCTTCTCACTCAAGCATGGGTACCGTCTCCCCTCCTCCATCTCCCTGTTTACCCGAAATATCATCCACCCCATCAAGCTCGCAGAAACAAATTCGCAGAAAAATAACAAACTGATTCCCCAGCATAGCACTTTCACTTACTGCTGCCAAGTTCCACTTCCTCACTCCTATCTCACTTTTAACGTTTGCTAATTTTTTTTCTCTTACCTTCTTCAAAGCGACTTTTCCATACGCAAACTTTGGTGTGGATGGAGGGATAGGACCTTCTGGTGTTTCTTTAAACTATAAACCAGAGTAGAAAATGAGAGAAGAGAAAAAAGCTGTTAAATCTTCAGAAGCATATCCATAAAATTCATTTTTCAAAAGCAAGGTCAAAGACTCAAACAACAGTGCTAGTGATTTTTGGAAAGGCAAAAGAACAAGGGACTTTTTCCAAAACAGGATCTGCTAAAGCTTTTATTTCTATGTATCTGAGTTTCGAGCTCAAGGAACCACCCAAAAATTATAGAAAAGACTTCAAAATGAAGGAGCAAAACAAGTACAAAGAATAACATATAAATACATGCACACACATATTTATAGAGACAGAAGATGTGGGTTTAAGTCCCAGTTACTGAAAATTCTATGGTCATCTGACATTTCAAATGGATTATATTATAATCTCTCAAAATCCAATTCTTCCTTTCTTTCTTTTTTCTCATTTCTTTCTTTCTTTGGCTTCTCTTTATAAAAGAAATAATAAAAACTAATGATTTAAAAAAGAAGACTAGGGCAGTGCCTGTGGCTCAAAGGAGTAGGGTGCCGGCCCCATATCCCGGAGGTGGCAGGTTCAAACCCAGTCCTGGCCAAACACTGCAAAAAATTAAAAAAAAAAAAAAAAGAGAGAGAGAGAAGACTACAAAAAACTTTTACAATGAAAAGTAGCATACTAGTTCCCTACTTTGCTTTTCTAAGTTCTAATCTTCAGACGAAGTCTTTTTAAAAACCACTTAATTGTTCCTACTTTGACTTCTTCTGGTCTCTGAATAATACACTTGTACTGCTGTTTTTGTTTGATTAATTTAAAACACTGTCATTGATTTATTTAATACATGAGAGCATAGCTCAGTTGTATCAGCCAGATTATCTTCTTTTCTTGCTAACGCAGATTTATTAACATTTTCACTTTCTCTACTGGTTACCTTTGCAGCTTTAAAGTCATCTCTGTATACCTCTATTTCTTGGTTTCATCAATTAGGACATTATCCTTTGTGTCCACACCTTTTAAGACATGGCTATGTTCATCCCTCCTTGACCTCTCCTCTCTATTCTCACCTTCATCCAGTTATACTTTTATATCAGTTATATTTTTACATTGTCAAGGTTAAAATCATCTGTCCTGCAGCCATAAGCCCTTCCTTCATCTGTATATTGACTCTGAATTCAAAATCAACCTACACTGCTCACATTATAATTATATAAATACTGCTTTCCACATAGTTAAATAGTTTATACTAGGATGGCATGTTCTTTCAGCTTTTTATGCTTTTCACCTACTCCTGGGGTTTCTAATTGCCTTTTTTTTTCTTTTTGTCTGCCTTGTTAGGTTAGTCCTACTTTCCAAGAATGGTATCAAGTTTCTCTAAATACCTCCTTCCCCCATGGAAAACTCCTTTGTACTTGATATTCTAAGACCTTCCTTCATTATTCTCCTGGCTTTCAGTTGACATTTCTATGTCATCATGACTTCCTAATGACACTGGACCACAATCTCAATTTACTTCCTAAGAAGTGGTAAACCTCCCAAATCTTTAAATGTCACACTTAGTTGATCTAGTTTGGATAGGTATAGAATTCTATGGTGAGACCAGGAGTAGTGGCTCATGTCTGTAACCCCAGTGCTTTAGGAAGTGAAGTAGGAGGACTGTTGAGGCCAGAAGTTCAAGAGACAAGCCTGAGCAACATAGCAAGACCCCACCAAAAAACAAAATTTAACTGGGCATGGTGGCCTGCACCTGTAGGCCCAGCTTTTCAGAAGTCTGAGGTGGGAGGATCACTTGAGCCCAGGACTTCAAGGTTGCAGTGAGCTATGATCATGGCACTGCACTGGGGAACAGAATGTAAATAGCCCTGAAGCATACTACATCTGACTGTGTCAAATCACCCTAAAAAAAAAACTCCTCAGTGAACCAGCCTTGGTCCGGTATGCTGGAGCAATGACTGTTATATAGAGATGGTCACATAGATGCTGGCGCATTCATTTGCATCCCCATTGCAACCAAGGATGGCCAGGACCTTTGAGGACAACTATAAAAACTACAAGAGGTAAGAGACCAGAATGAAATAAACAATGACCCGAGAGGCAACAGAGAATTCAGGGGACTAAAGAGACAAAGGGGACTAAAGCAAAACAAAGACATTCTGCCTGGGGGACAGAATGAGACCACCTCTAAAAAAAAAGAATTCCAGGTTGAAAATCATCTTCTCTCACAATGTCAAAGGTATTATTCCAATGTCCTCTTTTTATCCAGTGTGGCTCAAGCTGACTTCATTCTTGATTCTTTGAAGGAGACTGGCTTTTTTTTTCTAGAACCATGTAGCCTTTGTATTCTCAAAGTCGCCCAATTTTCCAACAGTATGTCCAGGTACACATCTTTTTTTGTATTCACTGTGCTGGGCAGTACAGAGATCCTTTTCAATTTTGAGAAAATTCTGTATTTTTTCTTTAATATTTTTTCCTCCATTTTCCCTAGACTGTTCCTCTGCATCTCCTACCTTATCTTCTCTCCTCCTCTTTCTGTCTCTGTACTCTGGTTCTAACTTCTAGGAGATTAGTCTTAATTTCTAAGAACTCTTTCTTGTTCTCCAGTTGTTTCTTTTTTCAAGGTATCCCTGTTCTTATTTTATAAATAGACTATTTTGTCAAATCTTTCTGAAGGATATAAATGTTTATAGACACTTTTCTTTGTTTTGCTTAAAATCTCTTTAGTCCCCTGAATTCTCTGTTGCTTCTCGGGTCATTGTTTATTTCATTCTGGTTTCTTACCTATTGTAGGTTTTATAGTTGTCCTCAAAGGTCCTAGCCATCCTTGGTTGTTCATTCATATTCAATGGTGATGCAAATGAATGCACCATTATCTGTGTGATCATGTCTATATAACAGTCCTTGCTCCAGTGTACCAGACCAAGGCCAGTTCACTGAGGAGCTTTGTTTTTTTTGTTTTTTTGAGACAGAGCCTCAAGCTGTTCACCTGGGTAGAATGCCATGGCTTCACTGCTCACAGCAACCTCCAACTCCTGGGCTCAAGCGAGTCT